TTTCATAAGTAGATCCCACTCATGGTGCCCCGTGTGTGTCAGAGTAAAACGGTGCCCACAGGGTTCTCAGTGGATGATTTTTCATAAGTAGGTCCCACTCATGGTGCCACCGTGTGTGTCAGAGTAGAGCTTTCTCCACAGGGTTTTCAGTGGATGGTTTTTCATAAGTAGATCCCACTCATGGTGCCCCCGTGTGGTCAGAGGAGGACTACCCCCCACAGGGTTTTGACAGTATGTTGAGAGGGGTTTCTTCCAAGTTACCTCTGGGGGAGCTTGAACATCCACCTTTCAGTGATCTGTCTAGCACGTAAGTATTTGCTCCATTGGGAATAACTGTGAGCTAAGTGGCTCTGTAGAAAAAGCAAGGACTCCAAGTCACAAAGGCAGTGATTCAAGCCCACTCCACAGAAGAAAGATGAGACTTTCTTCTCACACAAAGATGTACAGCCTCAGAAATCCTATACTGGGTCGCTATGAGTCAGAACCAACTCCATGGCACTCTACAACAAAGACCATGATTTTGTATGTGGTGTATAACTAGTTATGTCATGGATACCACATACAGTGTGAGTAACTAACTTTGTGATGGACACCAACATCCATGCTCCTCATAGAATGTATACCTAGTTAAGCCATGAAATGCAAAAAGATAGTGATAGTTGAGAGGCAGAATCCTTACCCTCCGTGTTGAGTTGTTGTTGTTGTAAGGTGTCATAGAGTGGGTTCTGACTTATGGCGACCATATGGTGAGAACCCCGAAACTACCAGCCCATCACCGTGCACCATCCTCACCATTGGTGCTCCATTTGAGCCCATTGGTGCTACCACCGAGTCAACCCGTATTGTTGAGGGTCTTCGTCTTTTTCACCAGCCCTCCTCTTTACCAAGCCCGACTGTCCCCCCTGATAACTTTCCTTCAAAAGAACCCAGTTCAGTTCCTAGCCAGTGTCCCTTAAGTGCAGCCACTGCCTGTCTGTCAGCGGAGGCTTATGTGTTGCTATGATGGTGAACAGATGCCATCAAAGCTTCCCGGCAGTCAAAACTGTGTGGAGCACAATGGTCCATTCCTGCTGTGGAAGGCATCAGCAGGAACCAAAGGCCATTGAAAACAAACACCAATTAAGCATATGCAATGTGTCCATGATCCATCTTGGTTACCTATGCTGTGTGCACTTAGAAACAATTCCAGGTGATGGCGGCATGGTGACAGGAGGGAGGGTGGGGTCAGTCCTGTGGAATTGAGGACCAGTGCGATCCTGGTCTGAGGAAGGAGCAAGCCCCGCGGTGTAGTGAAATGCCCTTGCTTTCAGAAAGGATAGCAGGTACACTGGCGGGTCTGATGCCCACCAAAGTCTGAAGCTCACTGGGGATGCAGCACGTGCTCCAGGACCGCTCTCTGCTCACCCCACCCCCAGCTTTGCCGTCGCCCTGTGACTCGGACCCCTGCTTCAACGGAGGTTCCTGTGACGCCCACGACGACTCTTACACGTGCGAGTGCCCACGTGGCTTTCACGGCAAGCACTGTGAGAAAGGTACGACTGAGCACCCGGCCGCTGCTTCAGCACCCTGGAGAGCAGCGCCGGAACCAGGGCTCCAGGTTTCCAACCGCTGCCTTCTGGGTCCTCTGCCCGGTGCCCTTGCATCTGTTTGTCTTACGGCCGGAACCTCCCCTTTAACTATAAGGTGGAGGCCCCTTCCTGGAGCAGGTGGCCCCGGCCTCCCCTTCCGTTTTCTTGGTATTTTTCCAACTCGATTTCTGAATCATTATATTACATTCCTTGTTTCATTCGGGGGTCCTCACCCCGTAAGGGCCCACCTGGCAAGGGCTCTCAGGTGACCCCAGTGGGGTGTGGTGGGCTCTGCTGGGTGGCAGCCAGCTTGGCTTACCGCCCCTCCCTTTGCCCCACTCCCACAGTCAGACCCCGCCTGTGCAGCTCTGGGCCCTGCCGGAATGGAGGCACCTGCAAGGAGGTGGGCAGCGAGTACCACTGCAGCTGCCCCTACCGCTTCACCGGGCGGCACTGCGAGATCGGTGCGTCCACACGGGATGGGGGCGGCCCCCAGACTGGCCTGGACGGAGTGGGGTTCCCGAGATACAGACCCCTGGCGGCTTCCCTGGGGGTCGTCGGGGTCTGCGGGGCGGCCGTGACCCGCGCGCTCCGCCCCAGGGAAGCCGGACTCGTGCGCCTCAGGCCCCTGTCATAACGGCGGTACCTGCTTCCATTACATCGGCAAATACAAGTGTGACTGTCCGCCGGGCTTCTCCGGGCGCCACTGCGAGACTGGTGAGGGCGCGCGGGCTGGACGGTCTGGAGGGAGCAGGGTGGGGGCGACACCTGGCTGGGCACGTGACCCTCCACGTCCCTGCAGCCCCTTCCCCCTGCTTTCGGAGCCCGTGTTTGAACGGGGCCACCTGCGAGGACTTGGGCACAGATTTCTCCTGTCGCTGCCGCGCAGGCTTCACTGGACGCTGGTGCCAAGCAGGTGAGCTCGGACGCCCGCCGGCCACAGTCTCCACCCACCGGGTGCTGGCTGCTACATCTCTGCCGCGGGGGCGGGGCCGGTCAGAGAGAAAAGAAGGAGGAGCCTGGACAGTCAGTGCCCATCTGAGTGCCCCTCCCCCCAGGGCTGGCCGGTGGGGAGCGCACAGCAGGACGGGCGGGGGAATCTATCAGGGCACCTCCACCCGCATAACTCCGAAGGCAGGACGGGGAGTGGGGGGTCGCAGGCAGGCGCCCCAAGTGTACTTCAGTCACACCTGGTGGAGGCAGTGAATATGAGTGGAAATTAGCAGGAGGTCTGGACCAAGCTTCCTCAGTGACTCAGGGCTAAGGGTGGGGCTCTCAACCCCCCAACCAGCCTTGCAGAGGAGCATGGCCCTAGTTCCAACCCAGCCCTGTCCCCTTCCCCCCCTGTGCTGTCCTCATGTTGATTCTATGATGACAGTGGTCACTAAGGGCTTCCCTGCCTCCGCAACCAAGGGTGGGGGGCATTCACGCTGTACACAGGCAACTGAGGCCAAGGTGGCCCCAGGGCAGAATTTGATCAGGGTACCTACAAACCAAAAGGAGCTCTGGTAAATAGAGTCGTGGTTACTAATTGGGTTGCTAACCTCAAGGTCAGGTCGGCAGTTTGAAACTACCAGCAGTTCCACAGGAGAAAGACAAGGCTTTCTGCTCCCGTAAAGATTTACAGCCTCAGAAACCCTGTACAGGGTCACTATGAGTCGGAACCGACTCCACGGCACATAACAACGACAACAACAACAAACCAAAAAAAAAAGCAGGTGTAGCGGTAACCGACTCGAGGGCCCGTAACAACAACACTCTCTTAAAGGTGAGCACGGGACTGCCAAGCACAAGGTCGGCAGTTTGAGCCCACCCACCACTACATGGGAGAAAAAGGATTCTTTCTGCTCCTCCCACAAAAATTTACAACCTCAGAAACCCTATACAGGCTCACTCAACTCAACAGCCCTCAACAACACAGGTCACTCCTGGTGATAATGGATCCAGGTCACCAGAAAAATACAACCATTGTGTGTCCACCTGTGGAATACAAGAGGCCGAATTGTTATTGTTAAGTGCTGTCGCGTTGATTCTGATTCTTAGCCACTCATATGGTTTCCAAGGAGCAGCTGGTGGGTTTGAACCACCGAGCTTATGGTTACTAATCCAGTGAGACAGCGCCGCGCCAGGAGTAACACAAAGCAAAAATTAACAGACTGCAGGAAGAAATGAACAAATCCATTGTAATAGTGAATTTTTAAAAACTACCTCTATCAATTAATGGTAGGTTAAATAGCCCCTCCAAATCCACAGATTGATGATTTGAACAACATAGTGAACATCTGGAGCTAATGTATACAAACCAAATCCACTGCTGTTGATTTGAAACACGTAGAATTCTGCACCTGGCACTTAGTGACCGGCATGCGTTTCAAGCTCACTGAATTAATTTACAAACACTAATACTACATGTGCCCATAAAGAAGGTGCCCATAATGGGCAAATGTAAAGGATTAAGAATGAGGCAATTATTATTCTCTGAACAAAAGCAATTTAGTTATTAATAAAATAAAAACTCAGGTCTCCATAGCTGGATTTATTCAAGTTGTCTTTAAATAACCATGGGTGAAAAAAAAAAGAAATCATGATAGCATAAAACATTTTGAATAAATAATATTAAGCACTTTTTATATAAAAATGTGTGTGGTATAGGAAAAGCAGGGTTTCAAGAGACATGTGTAGCTTTAAATACTCAATTTGGAAAAAAGAAAAGTTCCAAATTAATGAGCCAAATTCCTGACTCCAGAAATTAATATAGAAAAAAAGTAGAACACATGACAAGAAAGATAAAAGCTGTAATGCACAAAATCGAAATCAAAGGTACAAACAAAAGAGCAACAAGTCTATAATTATTTGAAACGCATAATACAGTGGAAAAGCCTCATTAAGACTGTTCAAAACAGCAAAGAGCAAAAATAAAAATATAAAGGAAACATAACTACAGGTATGTTGTTGTGCAGTGCCCTCAAGTCGGTTCCGACCCACAGTGACCTTGTATAGGGTTTCTGACGAGCAGCTGGTGAGCTTGAACTGCGGACCTTGCCATTCAAGCAGCATTATAGCCTGGCGCGTTAACCCACAGCGCCACACCAGGACTCCTAACTACAAGTAGAGCAGAGATTTAAAAGATAAAGGAATACGGCCAACAGCTCTATATAAATAAATTTAAAACCTTAGGTGAAATGGACGTACTACTCATAAAACAATGTAACTGATCAAAGTGGTTCAAGGAAAAGTAGAAAGCTTACATATTCCTGTGAACTATTTAAAGAAATAGAAGCAGTCATTAAAACATTTTCTCACAAAGACCAGGCCAGAGGATTTTACAGATAAATCCCACCAAATTACCAGAACTCGCAGAGAGGAGACAATAACGAATATGTGCCAACCTACTCTCAGGAATTCGGTATTGCCTTTATATCGAAACTGGATCTCAACAGTTGGGAAAAGGAAAGTTACAGACAATACACTTGAACATGTGTACAAAAATCCTAAGCAGGATATTAAGTCATATAGCCTGCTGTTGTTAAGTGCGTGAAATCGTTACAAACCTGCATAGGGTTTCTGAGGAGCAGCTGGTGGATTTGAACCACCAACCTTGCAGTCCAGTGCTTGTCCTACCATGCCACACCGGAACTCCAACTTAACCTGACACTCTAGTAAAGTGATGTTCACATGTATCGTGTTCACATGTAAGGACGACAGCAACTGTGAGGACCGTGCAGTGCAAGGCTAGGCAGTGGTTCATTCATAGGGTCTCTATGAGTCACAGCGGCCCCTGAAAATGACACCACCATGTTAGGGTAGCATGTATAGTGTAATGCTAGAAGATCTATTACATTAATCAATTAAAGGGGACAAAAATCCTATCAGACTCTCAATAAATGCCTGCTATGCATCCTCGCCAGATGGAACACATAGAAATCAAATAGACTATATCTGTGGAAAGAGAAGATGGAAAAGCTCCATATCATCAGTGAAGACAAGGCCAGGGGCAGACTGTGGAACAGACCATCAATTACTGATGTGC